GTCGGTCTCATTTTGTTATAAGATTTCCAACGTACTTTCTAACAGGTTGGTTTTAGAAGGACTTTCTAAAAGTCAGTTTTCTGGAAATCGACATTTCGTGTACTATAGTTAGCAAAATTGAATGAAGATTCAACTTTCACTTTAAAAATTGAAAAATAATTTATTTATTACTTCCAAAATTGATAATTAATGCTAACGGGTTGATATTTTCTATCGGTGATCAGACAAACAATTATTTCTTCACAAAAATTGAATAAAACTGAAACTTATTATAAACCACTCGAAAGAGCGTTTCAAACACTTTTAGGTGTAATAATTCTTTATTCTTCAAACTTATTCTTAAACGAAAAGGAAACCTGTTCGAAGAAGATCGAGGTTTTACATTTTATCAGAACGTTTTTTGTAATGTTTTTAGTGTTTGCATTTTTTCTCAATGAAGTTTTTATGAGAGAAAAATTTGTTTGATGCATGTTGTATAATTCAGACTTTGCTCTTTCAAACAAAAGAAGATCAAATCTCTAGAATATTGGAAATGTGGAAAAAGAGCGTTGAAAATAGGGTTTGTTTTACTTTGTCAACGAAATAATCTATCCCCTAGTAAAATCTCTATGAGTTTCCTGACAGGATTCGAGATACTAGGATTTCGCTTTAATTTCTTAGGATCCTAACAAAATCCTACAGAATCCTAATGAATCAGTTATATCCGATTTTAGGATCCTGGTAGAAAGTTATTAGGTGGGTCCTAAATGTTAGAATCCTGCAAGATCCTAGTAGGAAATAGACAGAAACTGCGTAGGATTTTGTCTAGTTATTTCCAGTTATTTATTTTTCTCAATTAGTTTAAAAAAAACGAGATAAAAGATTTGTAATAGGGAATAATTTAGAGAAGAGTTTTTTGGAACCATTCACTTTATCGAACGATTGCGTGACTGAATCAAACATCAATATTCAGTTGCGCCAGCCACTCGAAAAAAAATATTTATTAAAATAAAATTTATTCGAATCGAAATGTCTATAATTGATACATTAAAAGTGTCGTAATAGAGAAAGAATTTGTCATCTGCTCACGTTATGTCAATAAATGAGAGAGATGAGAATACAATAGTTTGATAGAAATATTGCAATGAAAAAAAAACAAAATTGTGTATATTCTTAAAATTAATGTGCAAATCATTACAAATAGTGTATACGCTCTCAACTTTTTGTTCATTATAGTCTCTATATATTTTCAACAAGTGCAGAAATCATAACTATTGTCGTTATCGTTTTCTTAACACCAGTAGTATAAGGATTTTAGAAAAAGTATTATTACATATGCATTTACTTTCGATCTATACACTTATATTGAAAAAAAGTCGTACATACATCATATTTACAATATAAATGTTGATTTATCATGTATTTCGAAATGTTGATAGGTTTTTCGTTCTCTGTTCACGACATGAAGGAAATAAAAAAAGTCAAATAATTATAAAACAACAATAATAAGTGTGATTAAAATGGAGTGGCCATAAAAGTGTTTTACACTAAAATATATTCAATAAAAAATTACTTTAACAAGGAATACCACAAAATTCTCTTATTTTATATGAGAAACTAGTACTGAAATTACGAGTCACTAAGTTTATAGTCAACTAGAGTACTTGACCTTAAATATAACCGATTGTATCTGAAATATACAATGAATAGAAGAAGAACGTGAGAGAACGTGGATATTTGTTTTGAGATAGAGTCATGCATTGAAGATATAACATATTTTGACCTCGTCCACATTAACAAGTTAACGATCATTTATGTACATTTTGACATAATGCCAATTTTTGGAACATTTTATCCGAAAAACATCTGATAAACATTGAATCACTACAAGGTTTCTAAAATATTTCTAATCTTCTCTACCCACACTTTCTTTCGTAATAGTGAATATGTGTAAAATGATAAATCGATTTGATTACATCATATGTAATCTAAACAAATCTTAGTCTCTGCACATGAACGTCACTATTTATCTTTAGAAATATATCAGTGCTTAAATGTAATTTTGTTAGCTGTATTATTCATTTAATTATATTGATTCGAAATATATGAAAATAAAGTTAGTTTAATTGTTGCTCCATTCTCAAACGTATCCATTGTCTATTTTTCAATACGAAGATGATGATCAGGATCTTGTTACCATCAGGAGTGAAATACAGACGAAATAGTTGATAGAATGCTGTTTGTTTTTTAACCTAAACTAGTGCCGAATGAAACCAGTTGAACCATAAGTTAACTTATCCGATGAAAGAAATACATAGTCGTTTAAAACTAACTTTATCTAAATGATACTTCACGAATAATATCAAAGAGATCTTCGATATCTAAAACAGATGGTCAGTATTTTATCATTTCGTCAAATGTCTGTGTTAACATTAGTTTTTTTTTAAAAATAATTAATAACAGAAGTAGTTGGTATATATCGTTATCAGAAACAAAATACTCAGCAAATAACAGCGATTAAGATAATATCATTGGACTATCAAAAAGATGAGAAAAAAAACCAAAATATTGAATTAAATGCATTATACGCATTATATTCCAATGATACGGTGCTTAATTTCATGAAAAGTCGATACATATATATACAAAATTAATAAATTATATAGTTCGTTGAAAATTTTTAAATTTTTAATTCATTTTAATTTATTTTTTTTTGAATTCAGAACCATTTTTAAGTTTAATTTTTTAGAAAAAAACAGTAACGGTCAAAATGACCGCTTTGGGCGTTCTAGGTCATGAAAATTTCCGGGCGTTCTAGTGTTAAACGAACATGAGGTCTGTTCTCAAACATTATTATGTTACAAACAGATTCTCCTTAGTACTTATATTCATTTTTTGACTAATATATATGTGACAGAAAAAAATTATATATCGAGATTCAAAACCAGGTCGCTTTTCAAACATGACCATCCTTTTGAGGATTAAAGTATTGGCAGAAATTAAAGCAGAAAATAATATAAAAGTCTATGTTTATATAATTTCTGAAAAACTTCTTTGGAGTTATAAAATCGAACGAATGCAAATGGTCCAGAGCTTTCTCGAATAATAATAGGAGTAAAAATCGTTTGAACTTGGCAATTTATCGTCGAAGAAACTGCACCATTATTTGTAAAAGATGAGAACACCCACTAACATCCCAAAATCCCCGAAATTAAAATCTGAAATAGCCAATCGATAGAGCTCGTCGAGTTGAGTATACTAACACCCAGAAAACGCGACATTAACATCTAAAAAGTATGCCGAGTTGATCTACATGACTCTCTGAGCCTACTGGCACGGTTTTTGATCCAAGAAAACGACTTGATGGTTTTTGAATACACACTTATACATGATTTATGCGGTCGGGCTGGGTGGCTGTGAGTACTTACGTATCTTTCTAAGCCCAGCTGATGAGAGCCTTGAGCAAAGTCGAAGGCGGTGCTGGGCTGCTCATTTAAGAAAAAATTAATGTCTCTCCTTTCTCTCTTTTTTTCCATCTTTAATTTATCAATTATCCAGCAAAAAGTAACATTAGTACCAAAATCTTATCTATTTATCCGTACGTATATTATTCAAGCTATTATGTAATATTATTCGTCACTAACGCTTTTCTTTCTCACACATGGCTTCAATACATCTCGTAGTTCAGCATATTAAAACCAAAACATAATTTTGATGCATGGACTAGATAGAGGAGAAAGAGTTGTGTCTACTGTAAAATTGTCATGAGAATTAGTCACTTACTAATTGAGTTACATGTGTTCCATTTGCAGAAGGACGCAATTTAGTCCAATCGAATAAAAAATGTAATAAATAACTTTTGTGAAAATGCAAAGTAGCAGTAGTTTTATAGAGAATTTCATGGGCTTCGTAATGATATATAATATCTCTATATATCTTGACTTTGGAACTAGAAAAAAGTTCTTTTACTATAGGTACGACATGAGAAAACACTTAACATTTTTCAAAAACCATCAGGTCGTTTTCTTGGATCAAAAAGCGTACCAGTAGGCTCAGAGAGTCATGTAGATCAACTCGGCATACTTTTTAGGTGTTAATGTCGCGTTTTCTGGGTGTTAGTATACTCAACTCGACGAGCTCTCTCGATTGGCTATTTCAGATTTTAATTTCGGGGATTTTGTGATGTTAATGGATGTTCTCATCTTTTACAAATATCCACCATTGTTACTAGATAACTGATATTCAGTCAAATTTTCACATTTTACCTGTGTTTGAATAAAAATCAGTTTGAAGGTCCAGAAGCCGTTTCGTTACTGTACAAATGATTTCATGATCAAATATATTATAATGGGAATAAAAATAAATGCAGTCAGTTTTATTGAATAATGTTCTGTCATAAAATTTATTTTACTTTTGTTTACTTTGCTGTAAGTTTTCAACTGATAAATATTAATAGGCCAGTTGAACATGTAAGACAGTATAATTAACACAATATAATAATTTTCGTGTAATTGAAAGTCTACTTTATATTCACTGAAGAATTCCAAACACATCATCAACAGATGTGTATTGCAAATACAAATGTTGATTTCATAAATAATTTTCTTTGGAAATATTAATGAAAACAATAGCTAAAATGTCAATCCAAATACATTGTCTAAAGAGTTCTAATTGGAAAAACAAAAATTAAAATTTTTATAAAATATGCTTGACACATTCGGTATACGAGAACAATTCCACGTGAATCCGATCAGATTGGACAGTTCTTGTGATACATTTAAGTAGGTTATTTGATATTAATTTTTTCAAACTTCTGCTGAATTACACGTTTTTTTCTTTGATTAACTTCAACAAAAAATACATCGTACGACTTCCTACGGTAACGTCCGATTACTTTGTTGACAGCTGCATACATTCACATCGATAAAAACAATTTTTAACTTTTATATAAAATTGACCGGTTGTCATATAATGAATACATAAATTCTTCAATCTCCTTTTTACCTTAAAAAAGTTTCATTATGCGAACGCTATTGCTCTTGTTTCTTTTACCACTTGCCTCTCAGGCTTTTCTTGCCGACACATTTCAACATCTTGGAAACGTAATAACAAACGCAGCACAAAATCTTGGTAACTTAATTCAAACTACTGCTGAGGATATAGCCACTGGAGCAACAAATATATGGAATGGAGTAACAACTGGAGTTAATCAAGTTGTAGGTAATGTAGTTGATTCAGCGGGTAATATTTACGGTTCATTTATAAATACTATTAATGGTATTCAATTTGTCAGTACATTTTTATGGGACAATGCATTTGGACCAGCACTCGATATGCTTTTAGAAGGAGGTGCCGTATTTATTGATGATAAGTTTGGAACTATACTTAATGCAATTGGACGTCGTAATGTTAATGATTTTATGACACAATATCACCAATTAGTTACCAAGTTTAAAACAGATATTCATCAACTGTATGACGAATTATTTGAAATGGAAAAAGAGGCATTGGTTGCATTACAAAATGGTAAAAACAATTTGAAAGATACAATTGTCGCATTTGAAAATAAAGTAAAATCGATTAATGAACAAATCCAACAATGGGCGGCCGAATTAAAGTCAGAATTAGCCATTCATGTACACACTGTTGAAGGAGATTTTCAAACGATTTTGACACAATATACAAAGAAAATTGATCTTACTGTTAACACAATGAAAAGTATGTTTTTAAATTTAACACAAGATTTATTAAAAAATTTGGTTGAAGTGGCATTGAATGTACTACCAGGCGCATTGAACATTGTTCAAAGTTTAAAAGATGAAGGTTTATTAGGATTCTTGCATGGTTAAATGTTTATAAAGATTCGACAATTACAAATGGTTATGATTACGCTACCTAAAGTTTCCGTTATATTTGTAAACAAATATTATTCTCCCTGAAATAAACAAACACTCAGGGTGAAAGTAGTCGATATTTTGGTAATGTATTCAGTATGGCTGATTTGACTAAAAAGTAGTAGTTGATGTAAAAGGGTTAACTTTTATCTTCTACCAGGTTGGTAGCAAATCACTAGATTGTATAAAAGAAATGTACTGTATACACCATTAAAATAAAGTAGCGTAATATATTTTCACTTTATATTATCGGTCCATTAAAACCAATAGAAGTAGTAAATAAACGATGGGCAATTTATACACAAACAAGATCTAAGTAGATCCGCACCTGTCTCGCTGTAATGCTAGAGTGTCTTTGTAGAAGGTACTGAAGTAGATAAGTTCGGATTCTGAGTAGTTTTCGAACGAACTAGCTAGTATTTTATACACACAAATGTAATTAGTGAAGAACATATTTTTAATAATTAGCAGAGCTAAACAAACGGAATGTTATGCAAAACTGAACTAAAGTGCAAACGTTGAAGAAATGAGGTGATAGGGTATTAGCGAGTTAATAAAACGTTTTATGTCTCTTTACTGGAACGTTTTTATAATAATATCCTTTGACGTATGCAATACACTTAATCGTGACTCACATACTATAATCGGTAGACGCACATCGTCTACCGAGAATCGCTTATTATCGTTAGTGCGCCTATAACTCAGCTCATAAATAGAATAATATCTATGCTGGAAAAACACAATATTTACGAGATAACTCCTGAAATTTCGTCTGCAAAATGGGAACATCTACATACTATAACAAACATAAAGTTCCAAGGAGCCATATTGATCGGACGAAGCGTTGATAGTGAAGTGCCTGTGATAAAGTTTGCATTTGGTACTAAAACACACCACGCATCTACAGGTGCTTTCAATCGAATCCGAATATCCTGAAGCTTTACTGGATCAAGTAGTGCGAACATTTTCTGACGGGTTTTTTGTAAAAGAAATTTTATGTTTTCTTGGGAAGATTCTCAGCTGTCCTACTGATATGACACAACTTTCACTCGTCGTTTACACACGGTACTGCAAATAGAAATCAAACATTAGGGGGATGTACTAGGTGTGTCTCTGAGGGTCAAAGACACACCTTCAACGCTCATCATTTGAGGCAGGACGAATTCATAGAGACACTGTGAAAAAATATTTTTTAATAATCTTTCCCTAGAAAAAAACGACAAAATTTTCAATTATTTTGATAATTGAGAGCATCCTCCTACACATTCGCGATATATGTTCACACGTTTAGGAGAAAATCGAGGTCAAACTTCAGGAATTTTTCAAGTAAATGGAGTGTCACTCGAATGTAAAGTTAGATCGAGACGAAATTCCTTCACCATCAACTCGTCAAGAGCAACAATTGGATGTATAATTATGCAATGTTTCGTTCATTTTCACCGACTTCGGTTTCAGCCTTACCAAAAACTTGAGGCGTCTAGAAAACCACTTTCCACACATTTTTTCAAAAAAGCGTAAGCGAGACCTTTAGATTATTTTTGATGCTCTACACGATGGGCAAAGTGAAATTTTCGCGGCTAATAGTGAATGTAATAGTGGGCGGATCTGTGTGAAACCACACAAATGGGTAGAATCCCTCAGTCCCCTAGGACTACAGCTATAGAAACTTAATAGTTAAGTAAATATTTCGCTGCAGTTTCTTTCGTACTTATTCGACTCGAGCACTTTTCACTTAAATATTACAGAGACTTTTTCGCTTCCATCATATACCATATCGTACCTTAGCGCCCTCTGTTGCGTCAACCTATTCTAATTTAATTGTGATGAATGACATCATGTATGACGTTGTCTTAGTTGACGTTGTGGTCTACAAATATTAGAAATATTTCGAATAAAATCAGCTCTTTCATGATTGGCTTATCCATGGAGTATCTGACGATAATGAAAACAATTCTCAATATACGACGATTGTTCCTGTGTGGACTCATCGTTAGGTTAACAGTATTCCATAAAGTGTGTGTGCACATATACCATAATGAAACTTCTCTTTATACATGTTGTACGTATACTTTTACGTAACTTCTTGTTTATGCATGTTGTTTATATGTGAACACCAATGTAGTTAAATTTAATAATTCGCCACTGTGCCTAAAGTATTCTATATAGTTCATTGATGTCATCTAAATAATCTTTATTTTTATCGAAAACTGCGTGCACTTGATCTGGTGAAGTTTGTCAGAAATTTTTCGAGAAGTTTACGGTTCAACAATAGAAACTTTTGTGAGTGCAACTAACTGATGGTTTTTCTCCACAAACGGTGCATGCTTCTTTTTTTTATTCAACTATTGTTGATTGGTATAATCTCCCAGAGTCAGTTATTTGTCTTTCTTCTTTAACGTCTTTCAAAACAGCTTTACTTCAGTATCTCTTCCAGTGAATATGTCAGTTATGAATTTATATTTGTTCTTTTTTTTCTTATTTTCTTTTAAAAAAAAACTTTTTTACTTTCTTTTTACTACTTCTGGTCCTAACGTTGATATAAACTTTATTTATTTAGAAGAAACTTGGTTGGTCCTAACGTTAGTTGTCTTGTTTATTCTGTTCTTTCTTTTACTCTTTTGATCTTGCTTGGCGTGAGTCATTGTTATTACAGGTCGGTGACCTTTGATGACTCACACTTTTCGTGAATGAAACAGTCTTAGTCTATAGATTATGACTCCTTTTGAAGTTTGATTGATAATCAAACATTCGCTTTCATTCTTCAGCTATACGATTTTATGAGTGCATAGTTGATGTCGTAATTCTGGGAATTCATCATTTTACAATCTACTTTTGTAGTTTCTTTTGTAGTTGTTTACCTTACTGACAACTGAGTATATAGTAAAAAGTTTAGGTCTTCGAACCTACTATAGTTTTGATTATTTGCAATATTTTGTACAGCTCAACATGAGTTTTGAACTCCGTGAATGTATTGTATTTCATCGAGACTGGGAACGTGATGCAATTAGAGCACTATACGGTTCAATCCGCTTCTAATCTTCACGACAGAACTAAACCATAGGTTAAGGAAAAAATTTGAAAAAAATCGAAATTGTCGAATAGAACAGTGTGGAACCTCATTCAACTCAGTTTTTGATGCTTAATCCGAATTTCAATGAGTTTTCTTGGCAACGGAATAAATAAAAGAAAAAGATGCTTCATATTTTTAAAGCTCGTTTAATGGCGGTTCCAATGAAGTACAAAAATGGGCATTGTCTCTTCACAAAAAAAACCTATATAGGATTTGCAGAATTGTTTTATGAACTTTTTACAGAACGACTGCAATAGGTCCATACAGGATAGACCTTTGACTGCAGCCTCAATCGAACATCATTCTTATATTCAGTTTTTGATGCTGAATATGAAAAAGTACTTCCAAAAAGTTAAAAGAGCGGAAAAGAAAACATTTTGAATTTTTTTGAAACTGAAGTGTTTTTCGAAATTTTAGACTCTTGGAAATTGGAATTTTTTGAATTTTTCTTCCCCCAAAACCCTTTTTAAAAAATTGAAAACCAGTTTTTCTTCTATCCAACCATGTATAATAAAACGAAAAATATATTTTGTTCGAATTTTTCAATTAGCGGTACCTTAGTTTTCGAGAAAATTTTTTTTGCCCCGATTTTAAGTTTTATACTTTTCAGAATGAAGACCAACCAGCTTTTGGTGTCATTGGATAGAGGACGTCAAACTCTAGATACAGAAAAGCTTTTGTCACTCCTGAATAAGATTTGAAGGAGAAATTTGAATTTTACGTTTCCGATAGAATTTCAGGGCTAAAATTACTTTGAAGAAAACCTTGCCAAAGATTTCGCTCGAACGAAGCATTTTGAAGCAAAAGTGGTTCGGAATCGAATTCTCTGGAATATGAGTGAGGGATTTTTCACAATTCCTTAAACTCATTTTTTAATTAAAAAATACGGTTTCTCAACTTTTAAAATCTGGTAAATTTTAATTTAAAAGTTGAGTTTAAGGAATTTCAGAAACTTCCTCGCTCATATTCCAGAGAAATATAGGTGGGAATTTCAAGATATACATTTCAAAGTGTCCCCTACAACTGGTAAAAAAACCTCCTTTAACTTATGGTTTAGTTCTATCGTGAATATAGTAGGTTCGAAGACCTAAACTTTTTACTATATACTCAGTTGTCAGTAAGGTAAACAACTACAAAAGAAACTACAAAAGTAGATTGTAAAATGATGAATTCCCAGAATTACGACATCAACTATACACTCATAAAATCGTATAGCTGAAGAATGAAGGCGAATGTTTGATTATCAATCAAAGTTCAAAAGGAGAGATAATCTATAGTTAGTTGCACTCACAAAAGTTTCTATTGTTGAACCGTAAACTTCTCGAAAAATTTCTGACAAACTTCACCAGATCAAGTGCACGCAGTTACACACAGTTTTCGATAAAAATAAAGATTTCTCGTTCTGCGAAACGGGAAATTCTTTTAGCACACAGTTGTGAAAACTAGAGACATGGTGCTGTGAAAGAATTTTCTCTCAGTTAAAAATTAGAGAATTTTTTTTTTTTTGTTAAACTTTCCCAGCTTATAGAGAACATTTCGAATTATATGTCCTGTTGTTTGTTCCTCTTTCTGACATTATCTGACTGAGAAAAATGCTGTTAAATTTTTGAGAATAGGTCTATGATTAAAAAAGTTTCCTGTCTGTTTCAGTTTTATAATAAAAATTTGATTCTTGCCCAGATTGATAGAGAAATGTGTGGAGAATATTTACTAGAGGAAAAAAAGAATAAATTTTGTCCTTTCCTTCTTATTAATAACTAATTAGTAGTCCTTATCGTTAGTTAACATTATTCTGGACCCTGGAAAATGAAACCGAAAAAGGTGATAAGAATCGCGATTCATATTGAGAAATTTTCGTTTTTATTGTCACTATGAAAAAAGCATA